TCTGCAATGGGGGATCCTTCTTTATTACTCATCAGATGTGTCATAGAAGTTTTTTAGATTTAAATATTATATAATGAATAGTTTTGTAGTTAATAGAAAGACAATTATTTCATATCTTATATTTTGAATTTATTATATATTGCCACTTTCATAAAAGTACTACATATGTCCAAAAGATTATTTTTTAGAAATTAATAAATATAATTTTAGTTTTATCGTGATCATAAATGATCATTTTGAAATAATATAACACATAACTAATATTGAGTCTTTCAAATCCATATGTTTATACAAAAAAGATATCAGATTTTTTAAATCGAACATAAATTATGTTTGACACCAAGTGATAGAATTTTTCGAAAATACCCTGTATTGTTTCCATAAGATATTGTGTGGTGCGATTTGATCGTGTGATTTCAGTAGTCTGATGATTGAGTGTTAATTACACACTATCATGAAATATTAGAATTAACTAGCCAATGCGGCACGAAAGTCAAATTCGTTAATTTCTGTTACTGTTCTTGTCTATTGAAGTTTTGTTTTTGGTGCATTAATTTTATTACAGTTAATTAGCGTATTAAACACAAACGGGACGAAACCAAAAAATAACACTATTAGAAAAACTACTTTCCAATTTGAAGTGTAAACAAAGCGCATTGTCGATGTCATCGAGTCAGCCATCGAATCAAGACGTTTGTGATTAATTTTCGATATTATGGTGAAGAGATGACGTTATTGTTGTTGGTATTTTTTGAAAGAAACGTTGTGTAAGCCGAAGAAGGTCAACGGACGGGCTCGAGAAAAATTCGTCAGTTTTGCACGCGCACTCGAGTTCTGACGAGGGAGGGGAAAAGAAAGAAAAAATCTCCGTTTAATCGTTGGCCCGTTATAAGGCTTGTAACGGTTGTCGTCTTTATGTGCACAGAAATACCTCTTGCTCACACATAACGGGTTAACCAACGGAGTGACGTCATGCCGCGTGCACCGGTCGGTCGGTCGGTCGGTCACGTAACGGGACAGAAAAACAAAACGGTACCGCGCTTAGTACCATGCCACTAGCTAGTAGTGGGGATTGTCCACCCGTGTAAACTTGTTGTGTCTTTTTGTATTTGTCTTCGCGGCAAACCCGTTGTCTTTTACACCTTTAATGTTGTTCGCTCGTACAATCAATAAAAAAATAGAGAGACATAACACATGAAATTATTTTTTACGATAAAATTCATCCGGAAACTCATAAAACTAAAGTTGATTTATTGTGGAATATTTGATTGTTGTGCCTACGCGGTAACACCGCGGCTGGCCGGTACTACCACCGCTTCTGTGGTCGAGTCGACGAGGTCGGTGAACCCGTTCAAGACGCATAACGGGCCCAACAACCTCGCACCACCACCACTACCTACGGCTGTTGTCCCGTTGCCGGCAAGGACGTTCGACGACTCTTGTACATACGTAGGAGTCGTCATACGGGTGTTCCGTATTACATTATGCCCAATCAGACCAATAAGTTACAGCTGTACTCTCATTGCACACACTCTTAACTGCTACTCCAAACTTTGGTCTAAAAAAATCATATCCTAAGACGATAAAGGTCGGGAATCTGGTTTCATTGAAACATGTGCTTTTTTTCGATCACGTTTGTGTGCTGGGTATAGTTTGTTCCGGATAAATAGTACCAATGTCGATGTTATGACATATTGTTTATAGATATAAGAGTACTCTAAACAATGTTAAATTTTTATACATTTCGAATAAAAAATAACGTGCGTGGCATAATATACAATTTAGGGACTGGGTTTCGTCGACTATGATGCGAACAGTAATGCGGTTTGGCTCAGTTACATTTGGTTCAATACAATACAGAACATTTAATTGCACAATTAATCATTTTATAAATAATAATAATAGCTCTCGTACGTTTATTGATGAATCGAATAATGTATTCGACTCGTACAACGGATTCTAGCGACAAATTCTTTATGATTTCCTTCAAATTCCACTAAAAATATCATAACAGTACCAAAATACTGTTTTGCATAATTATAATAACTACTCGGTATTGAAAAGGAGTGTTATTGTTAGAAAATCGAGTAACACGACTCTTTTGGACCTGCTGCAGTTCGGTGCAACTCGGTATGGCCGCACCAAAGGGTGAATCAAAGCGGTAGACAGGTGTGTTGTTGTATAACAAGGATGTAAACCTACACTATGAGATTGCGGCAAGTCGTCGTCGTATATTGACAAAAACTACATAACGGTATTAATGTGCGTCTACAGGTATATGGAGCTCCGAAGGTCGGTTTTTTATGCTTGTTTATATGAATTGAATATCGTCTGGAGATTGCAGATGGTTTTGTGTGGAAGACGATATTACAACAGATACCATTGTGGGAGGCTATTTCGTTTTATGTCTATCGGTTATGAACGACTCTATCTTGTGTCGAGCTTCGTAGATCGATAGAAATCGGTTGGTTATAAATATCTTAATTGTTACAATTTGTATATGTTTTTTTGTATAACTTTCCCATATATTCTTACCCACTGAAAATGGAAATTTTCAAACATCGTGAATAATGTGAAGAAAACCTAATTTTCCACGAATAAACTTTGTCATTCTTCCGGTATTGATTGCTCAACAAAATGTGACCCTAACTAAATCAGAGAACCAGACCAAGTTGACAAATCTTTCCGAATCTTCATTACATATGGCAATTTAAACGGGATCAGGTGAATAACCTGAATAATAATTTCCCTCGCATAAAGAATAAATAAATTATTTTTATTTTAAACGGACGAAGATCAACCCAACCAGTACATACATTTTATAAACTATGTCGAGCATTATTGTTTTTGTACAAAAAGTGCAAAGAATATCGTCTAAAACATCACTGAGTGAGTATTTACTACAACATAAAAACACGTATGTAAATATATTTGTACGTGAAAAGAATAAAGATGAAATCAACAATCTAATATTAAAATACCAATCGTAAAGCAGTTGGGTAAATTTGTTGTGCAAATATGTTTTGAAACATTCAAACGCAGAAGAGACAAAATAAAATCCATTTCCAAGTTATTTAACAATAATATACAAGTGATTTAGTAAAATAATTCAAACTAAATTTATTTTTCAATATTACAATAATTCCTACTGGAATTAAAATAAAAAAATCCATTTTATCAATGTTTGATGTTAAAATATTAATAAATATTGAAAAATATCGATCTAAAGAATACATTTGATAAACCATAGAGAAATTAAATGATTTTATTATTTTGAATTTGAGATGTAATAAAAAATTACAATAATAGTGTAGAACGAAAACCGAATGAGTATTAAACCACTTATCGAGATAACATAGTTATTTCTATTAAAGGGAATTTTTGTAGTTATATATTTCAAGTACAGACTTCATAAGCTTATGGTTAAGTACTAGAACACTACAAGGCACACAATTAATTATTTGATGTATTGATGTTCTTCTGTAGTGTTAATTCGTTCCAAAATGGCCATTTTTATTTATAATAAAATGTTTCTTACCTAATAATGAAAAACTCAACAAAGTATCAAGAAAAATGTTGTCAAGGCAAGCGTTAGGGTGTACATGATAGTCTACAGTCCTCCCTTTAAGCAAAACAAGTAGCGGTCATGTTGATCAAAAATACTTTATTAAATTGAATGTTTATGAAATTCATGGTGATCAAAACAAAAGTGTTCAATCGCATTTATTACAATCCCATCTGGAATACAATAGAAGAAGAAAAAATGAGTTTTATTTTGGTTGAATATTATTTAGAATTAACAGAAAATTATCAACGATTGTTGCAACACACAATAACTAAAAATCCGCTCAAAACGTATCTGTTTCACGCTTAGCCCCAAGAGAAATAAATCGCACATTGTTAAGGTTGGCTTATTTTTCTTGTCGTTCTTTTGACTGACGGAACAATCACAACATGCAAAAACAAATTGTTTTCGATGAAGTGCTGCTACGTACGAGTTTAGGCCTTCCCACGGTGTATTTCACGACCGAGAAACCTTTGTGGTCAGATACCCGGTGGCAACGCCTCCACTGACTACTGGTTAATTGGCTTCTTTCAGTAGAGAGCGAAAGGTTTTATGGGGTTGGGTGGCGGTGTCGGCGACTACAACGCCGTTGAATAACGTTCAAAACGTCGCATGTGCATCGGATCCAAAGCGCCAGCGCGGTCCTCTGTTGTCGTCAACGTAATACTTACATGTATAAAAAATCTTAAAGTGTACATTTATGCGTGTGGTTGTATGAATATGCTATTTTCCAGCTTGTCGATACAAATAAAGACAGAGCGCCCTCTGCGACGCAGTTTTTATTACTAGTCATGAATAATAACAAATGATTAATTGGAAATTTAATTTGAATTAGAAGAACCGTAACTAAGGAAATGAAGTTGCCGTCATTGTATTCTGAGTAATATTGTATCGTGCTATTTATTTTTTGATTTTTCTGTTATTGCGAACTCTTTTATGAAATACAGAAAGAAACCCTATACTATACATAAGGTATCCGAACGAAAATAATTAATTTTCGAACCAACGCAGTAAGGGATAACGAGAACAACTTTGGTTAAAGATGTTTCCCACCAATACCCGACTTCACCGGTGTATACCTCAGGGATCGCATAAGTAGATTTATTATTTATCGAGTTTTCCGCCAGTTTAAATGAAAATCTTGTACCTTGTGTTAGTTACAATGTTATTATAATTTCAATTTCTCGTTTCCTGTTCTTCTCGACTGCGGCGCTTGGTTGGTCTATCTATATCCACGCATGACGTTGGTCTTAGTCGTCTTTTCGCCGCAAAATATATATGTTCACTCACACACGCTCGGACGGCGCGTGTATTTCCGTTACGGGGACAAGTGTGTACGCGCGCCGCCCCCACCACACGCTTGCTGTTCCGAAGACGGTGAATGGCCATAACGTTGCCGCCGACCGCGCGCCGAGTGCCACCGACTACGTCAGTCCCTCGCTCAGTCAGTCACTCAGTCAACCACTCAGTCGGTGAGCCATCCGCGTGTACAGGTGACTGCGTTCGTCCGTCACGTCGCGTTTGTTCGTCCGTCCGCAGTATTTCGCCCGCAGTGTGTATTGGTGTAAACTTCATCCATTTACTGTAGCGTGTTGATACAAACTAACCAATTACCTGATAATATTTTTTATTGTTTTTACAAAAAATAATTTTCTTATTTTAAAGAGTACGACGCGGTCGTCTTTTGGATAGTGTACGGACATCGGTTTGACGTTATTCCGCCCATTTCTAGCGTATGGAATAAAAGTAAATACAAGTAAAACATAGCATGTGCCCGTGACTTTTGTGCGCGATAATTAAAGATACGTTTGTTGTTTTGTTTTCTTTACAAAGATAACGGTATCGCTGCCGTACGAATCGTCCGTCGGGCTCAATGCCCTCGTCCGACTGTAGTCGCTCGACATCAGCTCCATTATTATTGTTGTTTTTATCGTCATAATATATTCGAGTGTGTAACAAAAATTGTACGAGCGAATAACGTTAAAAAAACTAAACAGTGTTAACAAGTTAGTTATGACCGCTGAAGACGAAGATCGAAAGTGACGGTAGAAAAAATCTGCTGGTATTAAAACGACGCCATCATCAATCCTTCAACCCCTTTTTGGTTGGACGATGTACAAACCGACGTGACGGCTGCTTCCCGACTTGACATGTCTTCGCCGTCGTCGTCATCGCCGTATTATTACGGTGGTATTCACCATGGTGGCGGCGGTGGTGTTGCTAACACGTCCGGCGTTGCTGCTGGAGTTCCCGAAGGAGCTACTCAGCTCCAGTGCTGTTCGCCCCCGCCCACCACCCCGATGGGGTCCAACGGGGCCCTGAGAAAAGGTATGCATGTGAAAATTATTTTCCCGGACCACGAGCGTCCGTTGATTAAAAAATTACTCTATCGCACTACGATAATTATAGTAGCAGTAGTAGGAGTAGCTGTCATACGAATCGGCACGCAATTATGTGTAAATTACGAATGCAGCAGTAACGATGATTTACAATCATTGACGAGTAATTATCTTAATCGTGCATACGAGTAAAGGAGTACCAGGGCGCCTCAGGGGTTTCCAGTGCTGAGTTGCATTAAGTTTAGTCGGGTTAAGATTCGGAGGGACAAGTTGAACATTTTTGAATTTTCGATTAGCATACGTTCGTTTACTTATAAACTCGTACCACTTATGCCAATAGTTGATATTATTTAACGAGCGTATTGCCGCTTTATTGATGCGCAGTCGTTATTATTCAACCGTATTGCTTATCTCACTGTTTCCTGTTCCGAGTTACGTACGGCAAACGCGCGTGATTAGAGCAAGAGGGTAGAGGTGCGGACGTCGACAAGGAACTCTCTCCTCGAATTGCGTAATGCAGCGGCGACCCACGTAATAGCGAAAGTTTCTCTAGACGCAGCCGCAAAAATTTGTCCAGACTGTATGATCTGTTTTTTGCGTGCACGGCGTGTAGTTTATAGGGTTTGTAGATGGTAAAAACGGGGTGCTGTAACTCGTGTTTTTACGTTACCCCGTGTATTGAAATGGTTTTTCCGACCCAGAACTGCAGGCCGATAATGTGCAATTTGCTTTCCGAGGGTGTATGGCGAATAGCGTCGGTTTTGCCGAGAGAAAGTCTCTTGCGCAACCGTCTCTCCTTCGCCGTTCTCTCGGCGGTGTTGCGTGTGTAAACCGGTATGTTATATTATCCGGCAAACAGGCTGACCGCGTATACCACCACTGCAACAGTTATTTTATTATTGTTATTTGAATTAATAATTTTATTATAAATCTAAGCACAGACTTTACGCCCGTGTAACTGCATCTGCCAGTGTCGTCGTACCATATATATTCGATTTGAACGACGACTGCTGTAGCATTTGCTGGCCTAACATTAAATGTGTCCATTGAGTATACTTAATGCTTACTCGGTGTACAAAGCTGATGATGAACAATTAACAAAATTTTAACTTTATACGCCGTTTTCGCCACTTGGTAATGATTTTTATCGGTGTTACTTATTTGTAGTGTTATGCATGTAGAAATAAGCAAGTCAGCATGCAATAACGCGTAAGTGCAGTGTAATACGTGTTGTTTTTTTTCGATATTTGAAGATATCATTGGTTGTGATTGGATGTCATGTACTAAACAGATTCCCCGCGCACAATGTTAGCATGCAGCTCGGTGAGAATATCTTACAATCTCTACTAGTGACATGGCCAGGATCTCTGCTCGGAGNTTGAAGATATCATTGGTTGTGATTGGATGTCATGTACTAAACAGATTCCCCCGCGCACAATGTTAGCATGCAGCTCGGTGAGAATATCTTACAATCTCTACTAGTGACATGGCCAGGATCTCTGCTCGGAGGGCTAAGCATTTTTTGTTTTTGACTCGTATAATGCTCTTACTGGTATAATATATTTATAATAATAATAATTTGCCGATTGATGGGCTATGGCCCTCTAACACTTTCTAGTTACACCATCGATCTGCACCTTAAGTACTCCATAAGTGACACGACGTTATATCCCGTGGAACTATTACCGTTTTCATCGATGAAGCGCAAAAAATTCAATTACAGGAGATTTGCCGACCATTTATCCATATGCCGTATAAAATGTTTACAGTTATAAACTTAGTAATATTCTAAGACTGTACGGGTGGGAAAAAACGAAAAATATAACGCGACGACCGGGTTCTTCGGGATGAGCACCTTGCAGAGGGAGTTTTGCAAGTGTGTATCTTCTTCTACGTCTTGAACAATACGCCAAAAGTTGTAAACGCTCGGTCGTTCTAACCTCGCGAAATGTATACAAAAAAGTATGTCTGCTCGTTTATATAACCCATTGTCCAATTGCCGCATTCCATAGTTACGCGCGTGTACTCTTTGGTTAGGTAACAAAATTCGTTATACTCTGACGCCGCGATCAAGGGACAGATTAACTTTTCTAGTGGCTATTAATCTATGACGATCATCATAGATCCCGAAAAAATTACATTTTGAGGATCGAACAACAAGTGTTTTGCTCTCTGACTCCCTCGACTTGACATTGGCCAACGAGTATCTGCCTTAATTTAACGTTCTTAAATCGTAGAATGCGACAACGGAGAACGCTTAATTTAATGTGATACTTTGCGGTTATTTGATAAATTTCCACTGCCATATCGAGTGCGCAGAGGTGGAGCAAGAGGTCGACAGAATACAAACTCAACACGCGATCTGAGCTGCATCGCGTGTCAAACGCGAGTAGGTTTGTGAATCCGCTTACCCTTTGGAGTGCGCCATTGGGGTACACCACACAAAGAAGACATTGAACGGGGTGTAACGTCATACGCCGGTTTTGCGGTCGGTACCCTTTGAGGATAACACTAAGCATTTACGCAATAATGTGTGCGTCGATTGTTTTGTGTGTACTCCGATGATACACGTGATGGAAAGCTTATTAAAAATGGTTCATAATTAAAAAAAAAAAAAACGTAAACTGTACGTTATGCATACAGAACTAACTTGACGCCGAATTGCTGACTGTAAGGGGTACTGCACCAGTACCCCATGTATTGTGCGTATCGTCTTACGTTCTTTTAGGCTAAAACGACAAAATAGGGGTGTGCGAAATGAGATATTTTTGTTCCGCGAGGGGGACCGTTGCAGTGTAATGGACGAGTACATAAGTTTAGATCGAGTATGGCGAAAATAAGAGATGAAAATACCGAGGGAAAAGTCTAGAAAAATGAGAATTCCTTAAAAATGTCCGGCGGAATAAACGCTAGCAGCGATTTTGCGTCGGGTCGTATTTCAAAGACAATAAACACGAGGGACAAAATAGAAAGGCACTTTAGCCGGCGTCTTGGAGAAAAATAATAATAAAATATTCCCCAGGGTCAGAACGCCGTCGCGGTGACGGTGTGGCCGAATTGGTAGCGCGCGATGCCGACATTTGCGTAGTTAGAACGCGTTGCGTGCGCTCCAATTCGAATTTGGCCTAAACCAGTGTGCTGCACGCGTTTCTCGGACGTAGGATCGCGTTGCATTTTCGTTGCGGTATTATTATTATGACACGATCGAGTGCATGGCACAACGTGTAACCGACTGGAGGGCGTCAAGGATGCGATCCGACGGATGGAGAAAAAAACAACAACTCTTCGGTTCGGGTTAGCGCGTTGGATGGAGCGGTACCGTATACACAAATAACGGTACTGCTAAACAACAGCTGGCCGTCACTGTAGTTGTTTGCGCGTGTGTGCGCGCCCACACGTCCCACGGGCCGTACCGTTAGAATTTTTAGTAGATAAACATATACACGGAGGAATACGTATAAAAATATATTTTTATTTAAACGCTGGAACGGCGTTGCAGAAATAAAACCGCCGACGGCTTACGATGGTTTTACACACCGTGTGTCGTATTTTGCCGAATGAATCATCGCCGTCCTCCTACCACAGCAAATGCGGCAAGACACCTCACAACAACAACAACGTCTACACACGGATAATGACTATATTTATTGTATTGTCGCCGGGTACAGTTGTGGCTAAAGGACCACGGACGCCGCTTTCACTTCCCCCCCTCCCCATTGCTCTGGACCGCAGGGCTTTCATCAGTCGCGATGACTGCAAATTGTACGCGCGAATCGCCTAAGGTCTCTGCAGCGAGAAGCCGACAGTGGAAGTGGAAAGTCAATTTTCGATTCGATAACCGGTTCGTCATTAAAACGTACGTAATATTGTTCGGCAAACCTGGCCGCTGTTTACGAATCGTTCGAATTGTAATTAATAGCGACTGAACGCACAAGAAAGGCAGAATCGATAAAAAACGAACACAATTTTTACCGGTACAGCGAACGGGTGTTACGATTTGGTCGGAGATGTCGATAAAAGTGCCTTGGGCGTGAAAAAATTGCCACATAACGGCCGTCGCCGCTTTTAACTCGATAATTATGGACGGCAAACCTTGAAAAACCAAAAACCGTTGTTGTTTTCAGTACACACGCCGATGGAAAAAATTCATTGGTGTTTTGTGCGGTCACACTAGATAAAGCAATTAATTATTATCCAGATCAGGTTCAGACCTCTGTTGTGTACTTAAAAATAACAGATTATACGAGATAATGTACTATGCAAATCGTGCCTTTCTAACGCGCGTAATCCGCCGGTGGTACTTGCTACGGTAAAAAAACAAAACCGAGTGAAAACGCACTCTCGGCTTTTTATTTATCGTAAGAATTTAGAGTTGTTACTTTTTACACACGCAGTGTTTAAAACACCAGAAAACGTTCAAACTTACATTGGTCTTATATTTTAATCGATTTTAAGGTGTTTACTTATGTATTAGTCGGGTTTTTTAACAACCCTGTAAGAAATACGACTAAATTTCGAAACTATAATTTATATGCGCGATGAGATAACATTAGAGGTGGTCGTCGTTTTCTCGGGTGCATAAAATAATCGGAACGTTTGCAAAAAAATAAATCCGCTACGTGTTTGATTATGTTCGTCCGGTTTATAATATTACCGGAAAAAGTTTACCTCATTATATAAGTTTCCCGTCATATAACAGTAATATAATACGCACTCGTATGTGTTGAGATCTAGTCGTGTTTAGAAAGCCGTTTGTCCGTAATATTACTTGTACATCGAAAATAAGTAAAATTCGAGCCGTTCACGTGCCGTGGGAATTACAAAAAAAAAACAATTATTTCTAGTATTTATTGCTCTTTAACAAAAGCTTTATTTTTTCAACAAATTTCGCACAAATAAAATAATGTACACAGGAAAAAAATTACATCTATATCAACAAAATCACTGTGAATTAAAACTCACAAAGATTTGTCGTCAGTTCAACCTTTATTTTATCAGAATATTTATTTAAAAATTATTATTTTGTTTCTGAAAAAATACAACTTTTCAGCTGCGTGTTTTTTGGTGGATATATTCTTCGATACTCATAATATAATTCTTATAGAAAACGCGTAAAATTATTTCGGACAAACTTTCTATGTAGAACCGAATGACTTAATTTTTACATTACACTAAAAAAATACTAACATCCCTAGTGACGTTTTTTTTTTTTTTGAATTGTTATCCGAGACGGTTTATCTTTATGTTTAGTCGTTAATAACATACGTTGATTTTTGTGCGAATTAAAATTTTGTTTTCATTATGTTTATTTTCATATCAAGTAGTTATCAATTCGTCTTTACTTTTAAAATCAAATTATATTTTTGGATTTACTTAATTTCGTACCCTCAACCATGTCATTGGCAGATCTAAACATTTGTTCGTCTTTAAAATTATTATTCTGGGATAACTTTTTTTGAATAATGTTTTTTTAGATTCTTAGGTCCCTTAAGGGTTTTCATGTCGCGATATATTATTTTTGTTAAAATCTTCGAAATACCTGATAGTTATGTGTTATGATAATGAAATATTACTCGTAATAATATCAATACCTGAACATATTGTACTATTAATTTACAAATAAAATACATACTAAAAATGTACTTATGTCACCTCAGGTCACGCAAAAATAATAATGATTTGTTCGTGTTTATTGGTCAAACAAATGTCCAGAGCATATTTTCTACTAATTATACGAAACAAGGGTTCTCTCGGAAAGGAGTGACTAAATAATCGGAAGGAGTTGTCGGGAGACAACAAGATGTTATTGTATTTATTTTTTGGACCTTTATTCTGAAGGCATTGTACGACAGAGTAGACATGTTAGATATTGGCAATAACGTGCTTTCGTTTGTGAAACCCAATTAAATAAACTCTGCCTTGTTATCTGCTCATATTAATCCGCATGTAGATTACGCGTATTATGACCTGTGTCTGCACACGAAACAATCGTACTGGCGCTTTGTTTCGAAAACTTGATTACACTTTGCAACTAATACACAAACCGTTACTGTTAACACGACAAACATTATTACTATATATATTATTATTACGTGAACATAATTATTATTGTGTCACAATATACATGTGCTATAACTGACATGGCTCGCGGTTGATGATACGGCTAATCTATTGAATAATTGTTTGTTCGAAACGATTATTGTAATATTTTTATTAAAACGTTTGACGTGTTATTGGACCATGGATTTTCGGCCAATGTCCAATTATTATTTTTTCCGTGGTTTTTTTTAGCGTTTCGTCGTATCTATTTTCGCTCGAAAAAAATGCACATCAGCTGCGCTCGTTTCTGTCGTCTGTGTATGCAGTCGCCTCGAGTTTCCCTTGAGTATTTTCAAACTTGGACGCCGCCGCGCTCGGACATTATCACTACCGTTATCAATTTTTATTCATTCTCGTATCGACGATGCGTTGACGGGTGACAACGTGAAATCTATTGACTCTCTTGCGCGCCCCATCGCTTTGCTCGCGATAACATTAACATTACTCAACTCGGTTGCCTCAAAATTATTAAATTATCTCGTCGAACAATAAATACGAAAATAACAATTACAATACGAGTGCAACAGTAACGGTGTAATAGTTGTTGGAATAATAATAGCAATAATCAACAATAATGATTCTCTCTCCTCGTGCGCTTCTCGAGGTCGTTGCTTACACTCGCCCAAGTTGTGGCGGCCGTTGGCTCTACGGGAAGCCGATTGGTTCGTTACCAGTTTTGTTATTTTCGTACTTGGTATTATCATTATTATTGTTGTTTTTTGTTCTCCGTACTATCATTATTATTATAATTCGTCGCCCCGAGACGACCGCGGTGACGTTCAACTTTGCCGTAACGCAACGTTTCCTGTAGGTTGACCTACATTTACATAGGAGTACCCGCACGCCTATTGATGACACCGGTAGCGTGCTGCCTTTAATACACATACGAGATTACAGACACTCGTTAAGGGAGCGACTGTCCTCAACCATAACACTTTTGGCGGCCTCCAGTGTTTTGCACCGTACGGAAATCAAAACCGAGTACCGGCCGGTTTAGATAGTGCCGTTGACGGGCCCGGCCGATGTCAGTACGGCCGATAGTGATAATGCATAGAACAGTACTACGATGGAGTGTAAAATATCGAGTATTGAGAATAACACGCGCGCCAGAGCTTTGCATACAACTCGTCTAACGGTGCGACGTAATGTTCGGCTTTCTCTATGGCGTGTGTGTGCGAGTCTTCCTCTCCGCCACCTTACCCCCACTCTCTCCTGGCAAACCTATTCCGATAACAATAAGCGGAAGTTCGAAAAAGCTAATAATAATACATGGCGGCAACGCTACTACTAATATGGCCGCGGGCGTGTAAACATTATACACGGCGGTAATTATCAGCTCAACGGCCCGATGCGCTTACGGATAAAGTTCGACGAATAACAACTTTGGATGAGTTTGATAAACAATTATCGTAGTATGGAAATCCCCGTTGCCACGAAAACGGTGAATTGGAGGTGTTTTTTGTGAACTCTGCGACTTGTTAAAAACATGCATTCGGTGGGTTTCAGGTGGCGACCGTCGTACGCAAAAATGCATCTCATCGCTGTGCGATACTACAACGCATTCGGGTATAAGAATTTTCGGCGGCAAGATTATTTTTAATTCGGTAAATTTCCGACAGCTACTTGAAAACTACTGTGTGTGTGTGTGTGTGGCGCGTATCGTGCCGCGACTTATCCCCTCTGTCTCAACGTAACACTACTGACCTACTTTCTACTGCACGGCGGCGGTAGGCGTGCAGGCCGAATGAATAGCACCAGCATATACTGTTAAGTACAAGTATATAGGTGTACACCGCACGACCACTACTACATAATAATGACGCCGTAGTATTATTATAGTACTAGTAACTCTATATACTATTGACGGCGGCCACAGTAGCAGCAGCGCCCGTTTTCATATGCTTTACGCGGGAGGAGCTTAACGTCATCATATACTAATGTTCGAACGGGTACAAGAATCGCGCTGAGAAAAAACGTTTTCGAAAAGCATCGTCGGTGTTGACAATTGTTTCATTATCGCTACTGACACGGGAGCGCACGCCTATCGACTCATTACAATGCGACACGACCCGAGCGACAGACCCGGCGGGCCATTTCAAAACGAATAACGCGCGGAATGTCTATCGGTTTGTCGGCTCGTGTTTTGCTCATCGCGGATGTAAACATGATAATTGAACGCTTTTTCAAAATTCGTTTTCCACCGAAACTCTTTTGCACTGGTCTTGTTGTACTGCAATTTGCTCGGTTCGGAGTATGTGTTTGTTGTTGGTAACGATCGGACCGCAGGGGCCCCGCACTAAGGCTAGCAGCAGGCGGGTCGTTGAACTCCGCCGCCGTGTTGGCCGGCCAGCTGACTATAATGTGTTAACAGTTTTTTTTTTTTTTTTTTTGCGCGCGCGCGCACTGCGGTAGGCAATAACGAAATATATGTACATGTATTATGTTGAGCGTGTGCAATGATAATGTGCTAAGCGATGATGGCCCGGTGATGTTATTACTATAAGAATTTGTTATAATGCGGCGTTCAATTGTAAATCGCTTTGAAACTAATACTCGTGTTAAAATTATTATTAAAAATAAAAAATCTTTACGCTAATGTCGACGACAGCCGAACAAAAATCATTTGATAATCGGAGTGACAAGATAATAATAATAATAATAATAATAATATTTAGTCAGTCCAGCGGCGGCGGTAGAGTGTTCTAGGCGAACGTCGTCGTATATTTTTAAGGTCGTTGAACCTCTTACGTCAACGTTGTGTAGCCGCTGGTTGGTGCGGCCCGTTGTACTGTACTATTGCACTATTACTATGCTATGGCACAACTACTGCGTAGTATAGGACTGTAGTTTGAACGGCCTGGCCAAATACCGCGTGTAACCGAATCGTCCTGAAAAAAACAAATACACTGCCGTTGGTCTGAATTCAAACGTCGTCGTTGATTAAAATCGACAGCGGACCGTTCCTTTGGGAGAGATTACTAATTTAGACGAAAAACGGCACATTCGATTTTGTCGACTCGTGTTCACTGAACGAATTCAACCCCATTTTATACTAAGCACACAGTTGAAAGAGGCGCTCTATCAAGCACCTAACGTACGGGGCACTTTTAACGATTTTTTATTTTCAATAATTTATGAGCTGTTGCGTATTTTTTTCGCGCTTCCACAATCCAAAACATCTTTCATAGAAACGTTTAGGCAATGAAGATTGAGTTAGTCGTCTAAATTTGGTGTTATTTTGTTTACAGCACAAATAGAAATTATACCATGCAAGGTATGCGGCGACAAGTCCAGTGGAGTTCACTACGGCGTGATAACGTGCGAAGGATGCAAAGGGTTCTTCCGGCGGTCACAGTCTTCCGTGGTCAACTACCAGTGTCCGAGGAACAAAAACTGCGTGGTCGACCGAGTCAACAGAAACCGGTGTCAGTACTGCAGATTGCAGAAATGCCTGCGACTGGGCATGTCCAGAGACGGTGAGGCACCGACAACTCATTTTTGTATATACATGTAATAATTATGGTCAAAATTTAAGACCAGACATTTGTTCTCTGTTCCAAAGGTCAATGTTAAAAGCGAAAACAACAACACCAGCAAACGATTAGCACACTGTGTAATTATTATGGCGAAATTATGCAGTGCGCCGATCGTTTAGACGATTTATTTGTAAACCGTTTGCTGACATTACATCATTCGCTGTCCCCCTTCCTGTTGCAGCTATCACCACACGTAGTAAAAAATCCTCACATCGGTTTCAACGATATCGGAGTATGGAACCACCGTGTTTTTTTGATATTTTTCTTCGTTTTACCGGAATAAAATCGACAGCTACATTTAAAAAGGCCATCGATCGACCGCGTCGTTTTGTTTCCTCATTGGTCGCAACCATTTTTCGTGTGCACGTATCGACAATTTTCCGGTACTACCGTTTTTCACTAGCTGTCAGTGCATTGTGAATACAACACCCGGTTAAGTTATTTTCGTGTTGCCGAATAAAAAATCACGCGGGGTTAATGTTCGCTGTGTCAACGAACCTTTGGCTGCAGGGGTGCACGTCTTTGGCGAAAAATGGCGGTAGTAATACCCTTCTCTTGTAATTTATACGAAATTCGTACTCGTTTTGTCCTTAAAGGTTGCACACTTATATTAAATTGATACGATCCGATTTAATTAGCTAAATATTGCGGGATCGCCCTTAACGACTGTGTCATCGCAAACCACTAGAGTACCTCAAGTTCCATCGAGGCCAACCGAAACTTTTCATACAATTTCGATTTCACTTTACGTGTGATTATTATTTCGATTGTTAAATTTCTCACCGGATATTCAAAAACTGCACATCTTTACAAAAAAAAATCAATACAACCTGTGCACCACTAACCGATAATTTTGCTATTCGTTTTTAGACTAATTATAAAATTGATTTTATTTCAAAATATTTAATTTTAAATAGTAATTTGAATTCAAAAGCATTATTTTTAAACCGCGTGTAAATCAAAGGCAGATCCAAAATTAAGACGATAGAAACACCTCTTGAACTAGAGGCCCCAAATAATAAAATAATAATAATTAAAAGGCCTTTGAGTGGAATTTAAATTAGTTCTGTAACTCTTAAAACTTATCATTTACACCTTAATATATTTTTCCCTCAATTAAATATGAAATCAATATTTCACCATACATATTTTCTTATATTTTTCATTTACATGTTAACTTTAAAAGGGAAAATCATTACTTGCTTTTATTTTTGTATTTTCTTTAGTGTCATTTATGTCAAAGCATTTTAAAAGTAACAATAAAAAAATTATGTACAGTCGGGTTCCAACGCAAGTTAAAATATATTTTTAGATTAGAACTGATTCATACCTGATAATGATTAAAATCATTGTTGTAGACTTTTTAAAACGTATTTGAAACAAATTAAAAAAAATATACCATTAATTACATTAAACAAGTTTTAATTTAAATAAATAGAGTATTCCGTTACTTTGCAAAACATTTCAAAATTGGTAATTTTTATGGAAAATTCTATGAATTTTGATTTCATTGCTTAATAATTCCTAAAATTGAAATTTCTGATAGGATTTTTGGAACAAAAATTTTAAGACCCCACATAACCTTGATTAATATACTTTCAAAAATATTATTAAGTCAGTAAGGCAAAAGGCTGAAATGCTCTTAATAAAAATGTCGCATTAATACTTATATTTTTCAAAAAGTTATTTCGTTATAAAATGTAAACTAAAAATATTAACATTGACTTTTAATTAACAGCTGTAATTTTTGGGCTATTTCCTTTATTACGGGAAATAAGGGAATTTTTTTCAAAATTATAGCGCTGATAACTTCAACTAGATACGTTTCGTTATCTTTTGACTAAAAAAGCATGGCAGAGTAAAATCAATAGCTTCTTAGTTACTCATTGAAGCAAAAAAAATTAATGTATCAATATAACAAATATACTATGGGTAAAAGACACATACAAGTTGTTTTCTAATCTTATATTATTGACTCAACATTTTGTGGTGTAAACAAGTTACACTGTAAAAAATAATAATATAATAATAAAAATTATTTTCTTTTTTTAAACTGTTTACGCATAAAAATTTGAATTAATCAATAATATAAAATTGTTGAATAATTCTAACCAAATTTTTACAACTAAATATGTACTTGTGAATAAAATAAAAATATTAAAAATAGTAAAGTGACGATTTGAAATATATTATTTTATTTCTTCATTTATTTGTACCACCCAACACATTAATTAGTTAAATTTATCAACCAATATTTATTAGCATTTTTTAAGCCTTTTATTTTTACATGCAGTTTAATATTTTTTAATCATTTTACTTGGATATCACAAAATTAATGATATTACTAGAGGAAAAATGAGACATAATTAGTTATTTAAGTGTTGTAAATCGAACATATTAGGATTTTCTAACTCTCGTTAGCTTCCTGTAACACCTGTGCATTTATTTGTGTAAAAGCAAAAGGAATCATAGAAAAATATGAACAATTTATATTCGAAACAATCGTAAAGCTTTTAACTACAGTGTTTCATATTTATTCGCACAAGTACTAATACAGTACTGTAAGGAATACCTTAGATTTTTTAAATAAATAGGTCAGTTGTTGGACGGAAAAGAGGGTTGATATCTTGGATAATAAAGCATCATTTGAAGAGTCCCTAAATTGATCAAGTTAACAAGATAAGAAATTATTATTGAGATTCTTGCATTCGAAATATTTAAAAATTCACTTATACTTAAAAATGTTTAATGTGGACAGATTTTTTGTCTCATTGCTCATCTGCATCTAGTTATTTTCAAAAATTAAAGCAGTTCTATTCAGCATGAATTTTCTTTTTATTATTTCAGTAAAATAATTACATTGTATCCTGTTGTATATTCATACTCTAATCCTATTTTAAAACAATTAGTTATAATTTATTTATTTTTTATTGTCCATAGCCGTTAAATTCGGACGTATGTCTAAGAAACAGAGGGAAAAGGTAGAGGACGAAGTGCGGTTCCATAGACAACAACAACGTTCCTCGGCAGCTGCGGCCGCGGCCGCAGCTGTAGCAGTTGCTGCAGCCGACTGTTGTTCGACGACCACGCCGATAGGCGGAGGCGGTACGCCTGCGGTGGCCGCCGATTCGTCGGTATTCGACCACGACCAGCAACAACAACAGTCGCAAATGCCGTCTAGTACCGCAGACCACGGCAACGGCCTGCACGGCCACATGCAACACCATCATCAACAACAACACCACCACACGCACCTTTCACAACATCAACATCAACACCATCAACCACAACCACACCATCTCGGTCTCAATCAATTTAACGGTACCAATAATGTGGCGTATACAGCGGTAGCGGCTGCCGCCGCTGCAGTGGCCGCAGCTGCCGCAGTGGGTGGAGGTAACGGAGGATCAGGCGAAAACAATGGAGTGTAAGTATCTTGTGCGTTACAGCAATATTATTACTGTATTATTGCATTGTTGTAATGTTGCAATATTGATTTTGTACCGTTTATTTGATAAATTATACCGGTTAATCAAATATTATTATTTTGAAGGATTTAACGTTTCGTCATTATTTTCAGGTACGGATACAACGGAGGAAGTACGGGCAGCGGAGGAAACAACTCGTCTGCCGCAGCCCTAATGGTGGACGCGTTCAACGTGCAATACGCCATCGCAGCGGCCACATCAACAGCAGCCGCGGGCGGACCGCCGCCTTATGATAACACTAACAATCACGTGGCCGATAGCACCACTCCCGGGGCTGGCGGAGGACCAACGTCCAGCAGTACGCCGTCGTCGGCTTCGTCCACTTTTGGCGAACCTCTGATAGGAGGCGGTAGCATGGAAGTGTCGTCGGTGGCCGCGGTCGTAGCAGGAGGACCAGATAACGGAATGATGAACCATACGAATGTATCAAACGTATTGCCTTCGGGTGAGTGGATCGTATTAACATTATTATCAATTATAATATGACCGTGTGATATTATTTTCATAATAGAAATGGAAACGATTAATGGAAATTTAATGTTTCTCACTTGTTATTAGCCATCAACGTTTTTCTAAAATAAAATCGCACTTCGAAACACACACTCTAACTCATTAATAAATTTGACGTAAAGTTTGTTTAGCGTTCGGTAATCACATTAAAGTATTCAAAAGACAATATGAATATTGTCTGCGCTGCGAACCAAAAATAAAAATGGGAGTAGCAAAACGGTTTTGCTTACCGAACGTGCAAATGTTTTAAGAACACGTGTAGGCATATTCTTGCGGCTGATTTTTTCCGCTAAATCGACTTGAAACTTTTTTTTTTTTCGTAATAATATAATTGGGTATTTCACTTAGATTTTCTACCCTCTGGTGTGTTGTTAATATCTTTATCATTCAATTGTGCATTTTTAATTTACAAAAAAACAAGTCGCCTGTGTTTATTTGACGTCCATTTGTTTGATTTGAAACAGAGGGACATTGTGGAGGTCCTCCCCACAAGGGGTTATGAGAGAGTATTGTTTTGATTTTGTTTGACGAAAAGTTTTTTGACATTTTTACCGCACGACCGTGTTAAACTTGTTCAGCGCTATGAAATTTGTTAAAAAAGTGCATTCCCGCGCGGGTTGGTACACACGCCAGTGATAAACTATGTGGGGGCCGTCAATAACTAAAAAACCTCCATTGACTTTACACATTCAACGATAATTTAACGCGGGACTATTACGGTAATTTGTTATTATTGAGCCGCGTCCACACTGCACGGAAACCAAAACAAAAATGATTCGCTTTTGAGACATACAATGGCTAAGATAGTCCGACGACTTGCCATTCATTGTCGGCTAGATGTGTTTTGATGAACAATTTCCTGTAGTGGCGAGTTCAGGTTAATAACGGCGTTCGAACGGATCGAACACACAACGGTATGTGTTGTTGTGTTTGGAAAGCTGGGCTTTATTTTTTTTTCGTTTCCGGCCCGAGATAATTCAAAGCTGTTAGAAACCCAGCGCTCTGCGGCAATCTAACGTGTATGGTTAACACATTAACATCTGCCGGGAGTTCTTTTGTATTCAGAGCGCCTTACATCATCAACACGAAACAAGTGCTTTTGTATTGTTGACATTTGCCGTTTAAGGAAAATTACACGGCAAACTTCGATTAGAATATTTGATTTATTAATTATTCGTATTGTTTCACGACAAACACAGAAATGTGTTGTGCGAGGACCGGCTTGAAATCGACGTTTAAAAATAATCAGAAAATCGTTAAGCTTTAGATAGAGCAATAATAACACGTCGTTTCGGAAATTGTCGGTGAACGCTAATTATATTCAGACGCGCTTTTTTCGCGTATGGCGTTACACTGCTGTTGGGTTGTCCGAAAAAAAAGTTTGTATTTTTAGGAGCAAACTTTGGAATAGACGCGTATTGTTTAAACAAAAGTAAGCATTACAGACACAACAGAACCTCGTGTGTGTGCTCACTATTTATGTACTAAGTCGAACACTTACATCGAAACACATTTATAGTAATGATGATGTATTAAAATTCGAGATTGTAATTAATCGTTTTCTTTGCAGATGCCGCTCAGATCAGCGAACTTCTAAGCAAAACAATAGCCGACGCCCACGCCCGCACGTGTTTCTTTACTCTGGACCAGATACACGACGGCATGTACAGAACAGCCTTGGCGATGGCCAACAACAAGAACGGTGGCGGCAACGTGGCCAACGACAAAGTGCACTACTACAAGACTATGGTGAGGACCGTGTATTAACATTGGGGATTTGTATGTCGTGCACAGGTGTTGGATGCCGTGGGGAGAGCTTACGATAAAAAAGGTTGCGGAAAAATTATCTGCAGGTGGAACTTGTAAAGAGAGCAAGAGGATTTACTTATATAGATTTACTTAGGGTCGGCAACTAGTTTCTAAGGGAATTGGATGGATCGGGAAAAAAAATTGGACACACAAAATAAACTTAATCTAAGCATTAAATCAGACGAATATTAAAAAATGAAATATTTCGACGATCGAATTAATTCCATTTTGAATTTAAACCAATAGTCGTAAATACAGACACCATTTGCATTTTTTTGTTAAATTAGAAAGTCAGGAGTCTATTTCGAGTGTTTGGTCAAAAGGAGTGTTGTTTGAATTAATTGGCTGTTTCGATTAGGCTAAAATTAATTGATATTTGACACTTGTTAAAAATGAATAAAATTCTGACTTTTCTTTGGAATAAGCATTCGATTTATACATTATGGATGTATCACAACGACTGACTTTTACTCAAAAACCAGTAGGCCGTAAAATTCAAATCCTAAAAAATCTATTATTTTTATTAGTTATATTATTATGTTGTTAATTTCGTATAAACGCTACGTTTTACTTATATACCATTTAAATAGAACTTAATACTTTTAACTTGATGATAAAAAAAAAAAATCGAGAAGAATATGATGTTTAATTATTTCACGAATTAATAAAGTTTATTACCCGATAAGATATTATAGAATCATTTTGATTAATTCAACTGATTAAAAAAATGACAATTTAATTTTAGGCAACAATAATCCTGAGGGCAGGTCGCCTCACATGTCCGTGTATTTCTATGATCTACTTGGACGTAAAAAATCTTGGAAATCTTGCATTTTTGAAATTTGTTTTTTACTTAAATTTTTTGATTAGGCACACGAAGAGCTATGGTTAGAATGTGCTCAAAAACTTACTGCGGTCATTCAGCAGATCATTGAATTCGCAAAGATGGTACCAGGCTTTATGAAACTGTCACAAGATGATCAGATTGTGTTGCTAAAAGCAGGTAGGCGTTACACTGACGATATTCAATTCAACGGTTTCGCATCATTTGAGTTGTATCAACGTGTCACTTATCATGTGTTTGCGTTTTATTTATTTAAATAGAACAATTTAAATATTTTTGTTTACCTTTAGACTTTCAGTTTTTTTAAAACGAATTCCGTATTAACTTTTGTCGTATTTCAAATTGTGGAATTAGTAAACTGTAACTTTTTTTTTGTTTTTGAATAATGTAGGTAGCTTCGAGTTGGCCGTGTTGAGGATGTCGAGGCATTACGATTTGCACAGAGATTGCGTGTACTATGCCGACTCTCTGCTGCCAGCAGACGCCTTTTACACTCAAGACCCAATAGAAACACGTCTGGTGACATTGGCGTTTGAGGTCAGCAGAGCCGTTGCTTCGCTTAAACTCACAGAAACCGAACTGGCTCTGTACTCGGCCGTGGTGTTATTATCGCCTGGTATGTACTATTAATTTAGTATTTTTAAAAACAAAATAATCATAAATATTTTCTTTATACAGACCGACAAGGACTCAAGGGAATCATGGAAATCTCTCGACTAAGACAAGCCATATTGAGAGCCCTTCGCATGGAACTCGACCATAGAACCAACAACAACAATGTCGGGTCTGTTGGTGAACAACAGTCTCAGCATTTGCATAACAGCCAACAGAACCAAGTATGCGATGCTCTTATACAGAAAATTCCTTCACTCAGGTAAATCGTTCAATATAAATCTATACCTATTTTCATAGAAATAAAGTTTCAACAAAATTTTAATTTTATATCGTTTCTAATAATTGCAGACAATTGGGACAACTGCACATGGAAGCTTTGGCCAAATTAAAAAGAGCGGCACCTCATCTAGAGTTCCCGGCATTACACAAAGAACTATTCTCAGTGGATAGTTGATCATCAACTGATGAAATCTCTGCAGGGGTTTAAAAACAACTTTTAAATTAATGATTAATAAACTTTGCAAATAGTGCCCTCGGCTATTATAGAAACGCATTAAAATAACATATTATATTAGAATAAAGTGTAATACACTAAATTCATATAATGATCACTTACACAACTAATATTAATAATTGAATACACACTCACTCATGAAATTAGCTTTTTAGCGATTAAAGAAGTGTTTTGTGTGCGATCGGGTACTCTAAATTATGTATTTACTATTTGGCGTGGTCTTCAATGTTGTTGTTATTATTGTATAGATGTAAGAGTTGTTCCAAAATCAGTGGAATGATATACATAACATGTAGCAATTTTAAAAAATATTTTATTGTAATGAATTAAATTGTTTTTGTTGGCTTTATTGTACCACGATAATAAATTGTAATTCTATAATATCTCCAATGATCTAAAATTGATGTTGTACAAGTACTACAAATTAATTAACAATTATATTTTTTGTAATGTAAAGATATTTTATGCACATTTGTTGTACATAAAGATGACCACAAAATATTTTATGTATAGCGCTGGATAACATGAAAATGGTGATGATAAATATTTTATTTTATTAGAGACCGACAGTTTAACTGGTCGTTTAATTGATGTATTTTAAATTAGTATTTAATATTCATATTGCTTATTAATAAATACTATAATTATTGTTGTCCATCACATCTTTTTTCTTTTTTGTAAAATAGTTCCAACACGAAAGTTTAGTCAAACATTTTATCCACTGAGTCTTTAACAATTCTGGCAAACTATCTTCATATATGACAGTTCGCCAGCAATTAAACTTATAAAGTCATTTTCTTATTGTTGACATTGTTGTTACTGTTATTGTTGTTTTAGCGCTTTTCGTGTAAATTGTTTGTGATCAGTCGGACGTCTTCACTTTGTACGTTGAACATATATTTTCTCTGTCTTTATACGTATGTTTAATTATAGTATTTATATTAAGTAGAACTATTATAAACGTAAAATAATTTTATTAAAAAAAAACATGGCAATATCGCTGCCATGTGTTATTCTTATAATATAATTTTTTTAATTAGGAAATTTTATTGTTTTTAGAAAAATTTATATATTTGTGGGGTTAAAGAATAAAATTGATATGGAAAAAGAGCGAAAATATAAAAAAAATCATAAGTACCTTTATATTATATATTTATACGTATAAATATATATTATATAATGATAGTTTTTTACGATTATGATACGATTGGATTTTATATTGACGTCAAAGGACGTTTTACAAATTTTATGAAATATTTAAAAAGATTTAGTAGTTTCATATGTTTAGTAAATATAAATGTATTATAGATATATTTAATTTTGTACAATGATACAATTATTATGGAAAAAATAATATACAATTAATGATATTGTAAAACAAAATAATTCTGTAGGTATCGGTACTCACAAAACGCACATTATTTTAAATCTTTTGTTTCTTGTTTAGAATAAATAAATTATATACTATAAAAAACATTATGCATTTGTTAACACCAAACTTGTATTCTGCGTCTCCATAACCAATTAAGTAACTTATAATTTTTTTCGTTATTATTATTATATATATATATAGTATATATATATTATTATAATTTTTTTTAGTAAAGGTGCTTCGTGTTATTATTGTTATTAATTATTATTATTATTATTATTATTATTATTATTATTATTATTATTATTATTATTACTATCATTATTATTATTATTATTATTGTTTAACGAGATAAATATAGTTATATATACGTATATAAACATGTACGTATATATATATATCTATATAGAGATTTATAGAATACATTAAAATTTGTTTTTATTTACACCTACTAAAATCTTAATTCCCTTATTACGACGACTATTCATTTGAAAATGTAATAATTCATTTTTGTAAATCATCAATTTTTTAATTCTGAATACTTCGACTTGAACAAATGTAATTTATTGTTTACTTGCTATAAAACTTAATTTTGTTAACTACCACAATATTCATTTGTATATAGTAATTAAATTAAATCTTAATCCAATATTAGAAATAGTTCTTCTCTTTTTAAATTAGAGGATAAGCTGTCCTAAGCCCAATTTTCTCATTGTTGTATTGGTTAATTTTATATTACTTTGAATTTATTTTTAAAAAGGGGGGGTTATAGGTTTTAAAACAAGTAAATTTTTACTCATAAATCATTTTTTTTTTCGTTACATATTTAAAAATGTTTTAATCAAAAAAGCATATTTAATTGAAAATTTTCAACTATGTAAATAGTATTTTAAAGATTTCATTAATTTCTTAAACATTTTTTATCATTACTAATATTATAAAACAATAAATGACTAATAAACAGATAGAAGTAAAAACGAAACTAAATAAATATTATACTTCGAATTAAAGTTAATAAATCATACAATTGTAAGTTTTCCAATTTACAATAGTAGAATGTTATCGAAATTACCAAGTATATACTTAACGGCTAATTTGATCCTAATATATAATAATTACACAGATAATTTTTTTGACTGAAATTTTTTCTATTGCATTTACACTAAAACTTTTATTTGGAAGGATTATTATTTTTAACTTTTTAGCATCAAATTAAACATTAAGAAGCAATAAAAATAAAAAAAAATCAAGAAGACATAGAAATATAAAAAAAGTATGATGATATCTGACAGTGATTAAAATCACTATCATATAAAATGCTGAAGTGCAAATCTGTAGAGTGCCTAATTTTAAAAAATTGATGGATTATTCCAAAAGCTACATAATCTTCTATTTCCTTTTTATATCCTAATTACAAGTTTTATGATTTATAAGTGTAATGTATGAATAATTATATATAAATCTATAAAAGGAAATGGTTTTATTTATAAAAAAGTTTGAACGATCGAAAAGGAATATCGAATGAAAGAGGTATACAAATAGTATTTATCATAAAAAAATTATATTGATCGATATATTTTTCAAAAAGTTAAAGCGTTATAAAGTTAAAAATATAATAAAGAATTTTTATACAAAAATCTTATTTTTTTATTAACTTTGATGTTAATTTTCAATATGAAAACAAATAAAGTATACATAAAAGTGTCAGAGTTTCCGGAACATTTTCAAAAGTTAAGTTGAAAAAGTTAATTTTTTGTAAAAAAGTTGTCATTTTGAACCCCTCCTGTGGGCAGATTTACATAAAAAATATACCAAATGATAGGTAAAGACATCATACGTCTATAAAAAAAAATTATATTGATTTGGTCATTTTTTAAAAAGTTATGGCAGTTTTAAGTAAAAAAAATTGAAAAAATGTCGAAAATTAGCGATTTTTAAATTTGTAATTTTTTAGAGGTTTCCTCCATTTACGGAGAAACGAGGGAAATTTTTTCAATTTTTGAGGGTAATGTCTTCGACTAGATACAATTTGTGATTTTTTGACGTATTGTTGAAAGAAATCGGTTCGGTGAGTGCTGAAAAAAAGTGGTAACAGACACAAAAAAAAATATTTAAAAAAAACACATAAAAATTAATGCCTTCTCGGCTTTGCATCGAACCTAAAATAGGAGGAAATCATAAACATGTAAAAATAGTAAGAAACTATAAATATTCAAAAACATTGAGAAGCCACAGAATCTTCTATTGATTCAAATTTTTTTAGAGAATTTGTAATATTTTTATTATTACAAGATTTTCAACCAAGTAAAAGATGATAATTTCCCCTTCATAAATTTTCAATAAATATTCATGACTTTAATTAATCTTAAAGTTTGATTAAGAATTCTTAATGAAATTTAAGAACATTTATATATTTGTTTAAACACCGTAACTCCCATAATAATCTGCAGTAGATTTTACCTTTACCGTGAAAACTCAATCAAGAATATTGTTTCGTTACATCACTACTCATGTCTCATGAATTTGATATTAACATCATTTTATGATATTTGATACTTAATATTTTTTCATATAGTCTCTAGTTATACCATAAAACAGCTGATTAATCTTAAGCTATTAATATTTCTACCGTCAAATATTATCGTGATAGGTTGTCGATTCTTTATTTTCTTTGTCAGTAACTACTGAAATGGTTCTTAAACATATTTTTTAAAAGGTTCCAATTCATAGTACAAATCTATTGGTAAATTATGAGTCCAAGCACATATTAATTAAAAACTTTTTTTTGTTAAAGAATCACATTAAAAAGGAGTTCCTTTTTAAGAAAGATAAGTTAGTATTTTTTTACCATAAACGATGAAAAGGATTAAAGAAATTACAGATTAATATTACATCGCTTAAATTAAGAACTGTTTAGGTTAAAATTTTTTTTTTAATTACTATTAAATACAAAAGAGTAGACAATACATTATACTTTAATCTTGCTTGTCGAGGATGGATAAAAATAAGATTAAACATTTTTAATTATTTTCTATTTCTTAATTTTATATCGTATTTAAAGAATAAAATTAAAAACTAATATGTTATCTATTCTTCAATATTTAAGGAGTACTAATTAAAATACGATATAGCTAAAATTCATACTTTTTCATTAACAGTAATTGTGAGTTTGTTATGAAATTAACAAACTTAATTTTTACCATAATTTTATATTCAGTCTAATATTACTAAAATTATTATAATAGCCAACCAGGGGTTTAATTAAAACTTATTTTAAGGGGTAACATAATTTTGTTATCACTTTGGTAATCACGCTAAAGAAAATTTGTTTGCTAAAAACAAAAAAAAAGTACTTCAGAGCCATATTTCGTAAATATCGACTTTAAAAATATTGATAGTGCTGGTCTTAAATACGCCCCTATAATCAACAAATAAGGTAATAAAACTTAATTTCTTTTTTTATTGAACAATCAGGTAAGTAAATAGTCATCAACATCCCTATTCAAACATTCCTATCAAAAAATATTATATTCACAAAAAAAAAAAACATACAAATATTTCCTTTAAGCAAAAATTGTTAAAATAATAAAAATTAAATGTGATAATTTTAATACATTTTATTAAAATAATCTGTACAGAATAAGTTTAATAAAATATATAATATTATTTCATGCTGAGTGAAATGAGACAAATCCATACATTTTTCTAATGGCAATAAGAAAAGAATACATCTTGCTTTGTCATTATTACGTGAGCATATTGTAAAAATATCATCAATAAAAGTCTAATACTTTTACATAAAATAATATTATAGATGAGTATACAAGATTTTTTTGTATCACAATAACCAGGAATAGGAACCAAAATGATTTCATTTTTTCGTTAATTTTAATCATATCCAATAAGTTAATTGATCCCTACCTATATCGGATTTTTTTTAAAGAATTTGTTAGGTTTATAATTTTAGAAACCGAAAGTATCATAAAATCATAAAAATTTGAAGTCAAATTTTAAGTTCAATTAAGATTTTAAAGGCGCTTTCGTAAAATTTTTGGTTTCTGTAATCATTTATACAAAATATCTATTTCTTCTTTTTCCTCGCCTCTATCCCAATTACTTGGTGTCGGCCAACTTTATCCTAAACTTCCCTTGATACGATTTCCAATATCATCTACATATCTGTTCTCATATCACATCCAATAATAACATATCTCCATCTCTTTTTGGTCTTCCTCTACTTCTTTTTTCCTCAAACTCATTTCCATAACTGTTCTTACAGCTTTCGTTACCTCTATCCTCCTCTTAACACGACAAAAACATCTAAGCCTATTTTCTCTCATATTATCTACGATTGACGCTACATCTAACCTTCCTCTTATATATTCATTCCTTTACCCATCTTCTCTAGTAACTCCACTCATCCATTTAAGCATTCTCATCTCTGTTACACTCATTCTCTGCTCTACTTCTTGTCAACCGCCCAACACTCTGAAAGATACATCATAGGTGGTCTCACTAGTCCTTATAGAATTTATCTTTATCTAAATTATTCTAAAACAAATTCTTTATAGATGAACTAATTTACTAGGTATAAAAAAAATTGTCAAAACCGATATTATTTCGGTTCCTAGTCCTGATAAATACAATTTAAAAAGATAAATATACTAAAGTTTTATTTCTTGAACAACAGCTCATTGTTTTACTACTTGTTCCAAATATAAACCAAATTATTTAATACATCACTCTATTAATAGAGTATTATTCGAGATCACTGTAGAATAATAAAATGGTATTTTTTCGTTAATTACTTTTTAAGTTATTTAAAAGAGTTTATATGAAATCTATTGACTAGCTTCATAAAAAATCGTTAGAAAAAAATCTAATGTAAAATATCTTTTTATTTTATCATAGTCCCTATGAAACTATGTACCATTTTGGTCTATTTGAGTTTAAAATACCTTTGGCTCAGAAAATTTTTTACTATTTTCAGAATTTTGTCATTTATCTACTATATTATTTCTGAAATTAACACGTTTCATTAAGTATAGAAATGTTCAAGTTATGAACGTTACAATAGAAAATTTCTAAAACTAAAAATATATCTAGATTTAATAGTGTAATAACTTTATAATAAGAATACTATAGTGGAAAACTGTATTTTTTTTTATTAATATATAACTGATTACCATGAACAAATAATTTACACGGTCATCTAATGACTATAATTTAACCTTGTTTTTACAAAAATGTTTAGAACTTAATGAAGTATAGGCATATGAGTGTATAATAATGGAATTTTAAAGTGGATACAAATAAATTATTATGAAATGTATAACATCTGTTGCCCATCAGGTCTATTACTTAGGGTCATCTATCTATATAAACAATGTATTAATAAATACAACAAATTATTCTAAGGCTGCAGCTCCAGAAATAATTTCAATCAACTCTCTTGTAATGACAGCTTGTCTTGTACGGTTGAAAGCTAAAGTTAATTTTTCAATCATTTCACCTAAGAAAAATTATTTCACTTAAATTAGTGTTGTTACTATAAATATATAAGAACTGTATAATACTTTGATAAAACAAGTATTAATCACTGATTAGATAGATATAACATGGTTTATTTGAAAATTTAATTCAAATCAAGTCCAAGAAATCTCAATTGATAATAAAAAAACAAATTTTTGTAGACATAAATTTTTAACTTTATAAAATAACTGAAGATAAATTTCAAAAAACTTGTAATCATATCATGTAACTACAAATTTTCATTGTCATGATTATCAATGGTATTTGAACTGTTTGATTTTCAAACCTAAACTTGGGGTTATCAATTCAGTTCAAAAATCAAACTTAAAATTTAAACGTATCGAATCAAAAATTTCTTTGTAAATCTGTCAAAAATCTAGGTAAACATCATTAAGAATTTGTTGTATAATGATATAAAACATTTTTTTTCGTAAGAATGATTAAAATTAATTTCATTCGAGATTCACTGAACAGTTGAAAGTTTTATTTAGTTAAAATTCGATTTTAAAACTGAATGTTAAGTTCAAATATTGACCAATAACTGATTATCAAATATTCTGATTTAGCACATACTTATATACATAAACCCATAAAATATCACTATTATTTTCACAGAAGTCAAAAATCATAAAACAAAATAAAAATTGTACATAAAAAATACATTGTTAAAAACTTAAAATGACTCTTAAAAAATTGTAATAATATTAGTTTTTACATATTATTTATGTTTTTATTGTTAGAGGTGGGAATATCAATTTTAGGTGAACACACCATTACATTTTTTTTTCATCATTATAAAAAATTTTGTAGAAAAATGTGGTTGGCATTTTTATATGTTTTTCAATGAAAAATTTAAATATTTATACTAACTAGCATTCTTGCTGGCATTATCCATAGCAGTCATTCTAGATGACTGTTCACTACAAGCAGATTGTTTCATTGTATAGTAAAGTAATGCTGCAACTGTAAATTCTTGGTAAGATTCAATAACACCTTGATCAAGACTGTCATAAGTCTGTAACTTAGGCGCAGCCAACATAGTCTTGGAGCTCAATAATGGTACCTCTTCAGTTTGATAAGATACTACAGACCTTTAGTATAAAATAAAAAAAGTTTTTTTTTTGTAATAGTTAACTTAATATCTATTAATTTTTATTTAGAAAATTATAAAACATAGTTCATAACACCAGCACACAAATAAAAAAGTTGTCTGCACTTTTGACCGGACCCACCTACGGACATGTATTTTGACCCGCTGAATCTGAATTTGGAATCCATTAAAAATTCATTATGATCTCTTGTGCCTGCAACCACATTGTGACGGTTGGCAACAGAGTCATCTGGCAGAGTACCTGGATTAACGGCGGTGTGCCGTCATGGCAGGTACAAGTGATAAGTACTTTACAATGCAGGGAACTGGAAACCCAGTATCGGCATCTGATCAGGGTAAGGAAGCAGGCCTTGTGTTGTGAGAAACTCGCCACAAACGTAACAAAATGAATCAGGACTTTTATTACAAAGATGGGAATTGTTTCTTGTAATGGTATACTCTCTAGTTTCCCACTACTGAAGAGCTGCAATCGCTTGATGACGACACCTACAGACCTACTTTCTCTGCTTTGACAAGTCATTAACAATCGTATTTAGTAGATTTTTTCTCATATTTATGACTGCAATTTTCTCAATTTTTTTAAAATTTTAAAACGTTAATGGTTCAAGAAAACTTTAGATTCAAGTTCAGTGGAATAAAATACGTTAAAACCATATTCAATCAGAATCCAAAAAATTTTTTTTATCTTTTTCGATTTTTCATGATTTATTGCAATTTTTTAGTTTTTTCGCTATTTTTTCAAATTTTAACGACTCAACATGCTAATTAAAGTTCAGATTCAGATTCAGTAAATTGACATACATAACAATCATTCTTGACCCGGGTCCACAAAAATTTTTTCATCGCTGTGACTGCAGTTTTCCGCAAAATTTTTGCCTTTTTTGGTTTTTGTATTTTACTCAAATCTGGAGGGCGACTGGGCCAAACGGACTTCAAATTCGGATTCAGCTGGTCAAAATACATGTCCATAGGTGGCTCCGGTCAAAAGTACAGACATCTTTTTTTTTTTTGTGTGTGTCGGTGTTATGAACTATGTTATATAATTTTCTAAATAAAAATTAATATATATTAAGTTAACTTTTATAAAAAAAAAACTTTATTTATAATTAATGAATGCAGCATAACTATTCTAAAATGAAAACTTACTACAAACAATAAAAAAATTTGTCTGATGATAAAAATGTGATTTTACTATTAATAAATTATACAAAGAAAAATGTGTATAATATTTTTATTATTATTTATTATAAAATGAAACTACCAAGGGCAAACATTTTATTTTTTTCGATTGGCATTTCATTTTAGATATATTTTAATATAATAATGATAAATAAAAACATTACTTAAATCTGTTGAAGACAATTTTTCCAGTATTGAATTCAAATGAGAGAAGTTGATTTGCAACTTTAGATGCATCCAAAAATGTAGGGGGCTTACGGCCAACTTCATTTGCAACAACAGCAATATTGTCAGCATATAATCTACAAAATTTGAATACATTTTATACTTTGATTAAGTAAGCTACTTCTTTCTCGCCTTAATCCCAACTACTTGGGGTCGGCCACTTTGATTAAATAAGCTAAGTGTTATAAAAAAAAAAAAAGAAAAACTTTAAAGAATTTTTTTCAAATAATTTAAATAAAAACTTTCATTGACATAGTTATATCAAACAAATATACAACTAAGATTTTATTTTTAGAATATTATTAAACTTCACAAATTTCAAATTTAATTATGTTTTCATACTTATAATATTTATTACTATTATGAGTGGCATACTCAGATTTTTTTAATGGAAGAGCTAATACTAAAATTAAAACATTTTTTAGTCAATTTTTTATCAAAATTATTGGTTTAATAAGCCCAAGGGGATTAGCTATTTTGGACCCACCTGAATATGCAACTAATTAATATGTTACTATGAATATTAAAATTTACTATATATTTTCAAATTTAAAGAGTATTATGTTGAATAATAATATTCAAGATTTCAAACATATTTTTAAGTATGGCACATGCTAAAAACTGAAAATCAATTTAGCTAATTCAATAATCAAATAACCATTAAATAATTAAAAAGAGTTACAATATAATAAATAAAAAAATAATTGAATTGAACATTATTATTAAAACAAATTGAGCAGGTATCATAAATAATTATTTTATTATTTGTTCCCTAATTAGAATTATAATAAAATGTTTAATTATAATAGTAACAATCAATAATAATAGAAAAATTATACCTCTGCAAAAGAGCTCGAGATTTATCACCAACACATACTACTTTAGTGCCACTTTCTCCAGATTCCAATGCCAATTCATTACGGATTGCTTTAGATACATTGGTATGTACTGCACCACACAGTCCACGATCTGATGTAATTGCTACAATTAGTTTATTGCCTTCAGAAGTACCTTCAGGAACTTCAGTAGCACCAGATTTTTCAAAGAATGCCTATAGTAAGGAAAAAATAAAATAAAGCAGTATAAAATTACACTTATGTTATAATATAGATTATTTGATCAGTACAAATTATACATTTGATATGGAATCAAAACTTACAGTAACACCTTCACCGTATGGGCGAGCTTGACGCAACTCGCGTTCTGCTCGAGCATATTTAGCAGCTGACACCATTTTCATTGACTGTGTTATCTTTTGGATGTTTTTAACAGACTTAAGGCGCATAGAAATATGTTTTAATGTGGCCATGGACCGGTTTTGCTGTTGGGCAGCAGCGCCCTTCCTGTGTTATTAAAATACAATTATTTTATTTCTATATATTATTACTTTATATACAGTAGCAACATGGGATTTTAAATAATTACTTACAAGCAAACTAGTTTTGCTGAGTTACCAATCATCATCATGTTGGATTATAAAATATTCTTTTTAAGCTAACTAAAAGATAAAAGAAATTAGCAGTGCGGTAAGAGCGGAATTACCTAAAGACTACAGAAGTGTGCGGGGTCAAATAAAGGGTACAAATAGTTAAATCATCTTATCACTTTAGTATCATGAAAGCCGTCAACAGCATAATTTATACAGCTGTTTTAAGTTTAGTGGAGGTACTTATGGAGGTAAATCGTAATTTATCCCGCCATTTTTAAATTAAGAAGTATTCATCAACAATTTTCATATTATGAGACCACTTTATTTACACCTCAATAATAGGTTACGTAAACTTCAATTTAAAATCTAGATAGCAAAAAATAAATGGTCCAACACTAATGTAGGCTTCTACATAATATTATATCCTTTACCGTTATAAAATTTACATGAATTATGATCTTTAGATAAAACTAGGATAGAGGAATTTAAATTTGACTCTCTCAAAAAGTTTTATTCCAATTGACCATAATTTTTTAAATAGATTAACGTATGTTTAAATTATATGTACATACAACATTGATATAATGTATTTGTAGATACGAGTTTCTATTTATTAAATACTAAATAATAATTAAAATAAAACAAACATAGACTAGAGTATAATACTAGTAGTTACAACTACTACTTTTAAACTAAAATTCTGAATCCACCCTTGAATCATAATATGTTATATAAGTTAAAGCATAGGCCATTGTTAATATTATTAACAATAGCCTGCACTTTAATTTCTATCAGTTAATTTTTATCTTTTTAAGCTTTACACAATTTTAGTACACTTTGAATTTTTGTGCTAGTTACTCCACTGTGTACAGCGGCGTCGAAAATTAAAATTTTTTAATATCATCCGAGTCTTATACTTAATGAATCACCTTGCTGTATATGTTATACTCGTAGACAATAGATATATCAACTTAATTATGGAAAAAATTTTTATTGGTTTACAAATATAGTACACAGTGTTTTTATTGGTTGAATTATTGTAGAGGTGTTTTCAATTACACCCCTACAATCTATCTACATACATGAAAATTAAATTTTTCGACGTCAAATAAGCCCAAACAAAGTGAATAGGTTATATTTCAGAATAAAAAAAAATTTGAATATATAGTATAAAAATTATACTATATTGTAATATTATAATTTTATGTTCATCTCGAGTAAGTTAAAGAAATTTTTCTAAACAAATTAAATATTCATCATTTTATGCAGTACCCCAGTAAAGTGGATATTTTAACTTATTTCAATTTGAGTTTTAAAATCTACTAAACATAATTTTTTCATAATTTACGCAAAAAAAAACTCACTGACTAAATGTTAGCTTAACGTAGTAATCTTATTGCAATTTCAGTCTACGTTTACTATAGAAGTAGGGTAGGGGACTATGTATATTAGCTCCTTCAAAACTTTAGAAAAATTATATGCAATATTAATTTTAAAAAATTGTAGAGAAGAAAAAATCCCTTTACTCTAAAAAAACATTTGACCATTCAACGCATATGATGTTTACAAAAATTTTTCATGACACTTAAATTTTGAAATATTATCATTATTCATATTCTCCGGAGTATTCGATTAGTTCGGGATTTCCCCACATTTGAGCAATCAAATGTTTAGCAATATCATTTTAATGATTATATATAATTAAAAATCTAAATGAAATTCAATGAAATTTGTTTTTTATGTTTATATTTTTGATTTCTTACTAAAATAGTTGACAAACATAATCAAAAATTTGAATTAAAATTAAAAATAAAAATGTAATTTTATTAAATCATTCACATAAAATCGCACAGTGTAATCTAGGATAAGACTCATATAATGATATAAATAAATTATTTAATAGTACAGGACAAAGAGTTAATAAACTTCAAATCTTATACTATTCTTGCGTGTTTCTTCAGCTTTCCGAAATCAATAGACTAATATTGAATTAATTAAAAATGTAAAAATTGTTGACATGTTTAAATTGTCATATGTTTCTCTTTTAACGAATCATCGATAAAAGTTGGTCGGTACGTCTTTGTATGTGTTCTGACATAAATTCAGTGTTAAGTATATGATCAATTGTTACATCACTATTTTCGTACTTCCAAAGAATGTCATTCATAATAGTAGAAATTTCATTTAAAGCTTTTTCGTTATCATCGTTATAAATCTACAAGGTAAATAAAACAAATTAATTATCCGTAATAAAAAGCAAATAAACTTATATTTACCCTCGAATGAAATATATCTGTTGTTTTTTCAAATAAATCATTACAAATATTGATATTTTCAAGACATTCGCTGATTAAATCCGAGAAAGAATTGTCATTTGTCCAACTATCATCTTCTGTAATGTTAGAGTCATATTCAGATCGAAATAGACTTTGAGGTAAACTTTCCAATTCGCCAAGCTCATCGTATAAATTTTCATTTTCATTTCGTATCAACGACTGGTGGATAACAAACGAATCTAATTTTGAATTATCCAAACTTTATTTAGTTTGGATAAATGAAAAAGATAATAATTATATAATAAACCGTCAATTGATTATTTTTATATATTATACACCACAAACTAATTTTAAAAAATAATAATAATTATTATTATCAATAATTATTTGAAAGATTAAATAAACTTTATATAACTTTCATAATATAAGTTTACTTTATCTCTAATACTTTTTTGAAAGTATAAAACTTACTTAAAAGACATTTTACTATCAGTACTATACAAATCTTCTTTTTTAGTAAGTAAACTATTACTCTTGGACAATATTGATTGGTTAGAAATACTAGACTATACATAAAAAGTTGTATTAATACTCTGTCTATCATTAAACAATTATTGTACTTTAATCAAATTTATAATAACACCAAAATTAAAAATTTAACATTTTTTTTCTAAAGTCAATAGACCAAAAGCTTTTAACTCATTATTCTAGTAGGTATAGAATAATCGTGTTTACTGACAAATAAAATTATAACTTAAACTTTCAAGTAACATCGATACTATTCACTTATTAAGGAGATTCAGTACTCATTGAAGTTACCCTAGATACTTTAAATATTGAGAAATATCAACAAAAATTAAATATAGTACCCGTTATTAAATAACCTTTCAATTCCAATGAATTCATATAAAGTGAGCCATTTTTAATAAATTATACATAATTTGAAAAAGCTTTTGTTTAATTATTTAAAATATTACTAAAAATGTATCTTTTATGTTCTGATTTTATTTAATTTTAAAATAAGGGCAGTATTTATGACTACACCTATAGTGTAGGTAATAATTATTTCATGAGGAGGGAACAAAGCCAAAGAATGGAAAAATTACATATTAAGAATGTTTTTTTTCGTCACTTTATTTTGAATATATATATTATAAATAAAAAAGAAGAGAACACTTTGATATTGTTGACTGCATAGTTGGATTGACTATATAAAAGTACAAAATAATATTTCCCTATTAAAATTACTAATAAATCATAGCATATAGTTTACTATGTGCAATTTTTTATTGCTTTCCAAAACGACTTTTAAATCACTTATTTGAGAAACAACTTAAGTTCAAAATATTTAACTAGTAAAAAAAAAAAAAAATTATTTTAACCTACCACTGGCGACATATAACATTTAAACTAACATGGTTGAAAAATATATTCAATTAAATACGCTGTAAGTTAATAAAAATATATAATAAATAAAATGATCTTATTTTAATTTAAGAAGAAACATTTAAAAGCTTTGGACTTGGGAAATTTTACAATACATAAATTTCTGCGATTTATTAAAAAGCGACTAACTGCTATAAGTTTACATCAGAACTTCTTTATCAGTAACTGAATACAAACTTTTAAAAACTGTTCGAAATTATGCAAATTTTATTTTTAAAGCTTTTTCTACATTTTTTTTTTTTTAACTTGGATTTTTTCTCAAACAGGTAGTTTAAATTTAAAATTTACTAAAAATTATAATTACTGTAAACGAGATTAAATATTAGTTTAGATACTTGTTATCGCTTTGGTAGAGCTATATAATATTATATTTATTATATATTATATATATATCTCTGTTAAATGTCAAAGAAAGGGTAATTTTGATATGTTGGTAAGATTAGGTTTGGTTGGGATTTGTTTTTCTATTTTACTTCAGTTTACATATTTTATATACGAGATTTTTCTTTAGTAGTCATTTGCAATTGGTTGGTTTGATATAAAAAATAATTTATACACGTTAGGAAATAGATGTCAAAAATAACAATTTGAATAGTATTTAGACAGTTATGATTTTTTGATAAAACGTTTTGTAATTTGTTGATTTTTATGAATTTTAATATTTTGAAAATGTTTTGAGCATCATTATATAGACATTTTGTAAGACGGTTTCGTAAATTAGCTTCATTTTCAGTTTTCTTTTATTTATTTTTTCAGTGATGGTTATTAGGAAACTTATTATCTTACTACTTACTACCCTTACTTAACTTATCGTTAAAGAAACTTTCAGGAACTTTCAGGAACTTTCGAAAGAAGCCCAATGTTACTAGGAAATTATAGATAACTAATTTATACGTCACAAAAAATACATTTTAAAGAAAATGATTTATGTACCATGTGATGTGACAATTCAGAAGTAATTGGTAATTTTAATTTGTCAACATATTGTTTCTTAGTACACAGACTAAGACGAAGAGCATCTTCATAAGCAATCTTATTATCTGGCAATACTAAAATTAATGTTACGTTAAAACCTCTCATTTTCAAACAAAGTGCTCCCTCTAAATTAGTGAATCCTATCAAAATTTTATTTTCATTAGCACATTTTTCGATTTCGTCATCACCTATGTAATATTGAATATTGATTAAAAATTAATTATAAATTTTTAATTTAATTTTTACTTACTTAAACCGTAAAAATGTCCTAAATACTGAAAAGTGAACAAAAATTTACCGTCTGTAGTCATCTCATTAAATATATCTGGAGAAACTGTCTTATAAATACCATTTGCAAGATCTGGTGGCGAATTCTTAGTGGTATGAATTTGAGCTCGATAAAACCGTTGGTCAATTTCGGCTATCTTTTCAAGAAAATACTTTTTTTTTGTTTTTGTTGGACCCACCAGTAAAACTATGCATACTTCTCGAGAATTTAAGACTGATTGACTCAAGTGTCTTCCAGATAAATGTTCCAACACGGTATTTCTAACCGCATGTTTTTTTGCTGTTTGTATAGCATGTAATTCTGCTACATTCAACTTCTATTACATATTCAGAATACAATATCAATAGATTATAGTAAACATCACTAAATTTTTTACTCTAAACACTTACAACACCGTTCTCTACATTGCAAATTTTCGAATCAATGCTTGATGATGATTCTGTGTCAATACCTAATATCTGATGATGAATATTAAATTTAAGAACTTCATTATTTTCTAAATTTAAAAATTCAAGATTTTCTAACTGTCTCAAATACTCTAATTCTGTTACGTCGGTAATTAAATTATTATCGATGCATAAAGTTGTTAATTTTTTAATATGCTATAAATAATAATTTATAAATTATTATCAAAAAAAAAACCCAGCACAGTATGTAATCTAAAGTGATGAGACTATTTATTTATTTATGCATATGACATATCGGCATATGCATATATAATATACATATTTTATAGAAACGCTATTAATTGTAAAACTACTATAATAATAGATAATCAAAAATAGATATTTTTATATGAAAGTGTTAATAATTATGCATATAATGAAAAACAATTGTAAAAAAAACCCAGCACAGTGGGGTCGTGGCATAGTTGGGTCCAGTATAGATAATATCTGTCAGTGATTAAAATCACTATCATAAGAAACGCTTCGATGCAAATCTGTAGATAGTGTTTAATTTTAAAAAATTGATGGATAATTGCAAAAGCAACATCAACTTCTATTAAAATAAAATACAAAACCCATAATTTTCATACAAAAATAGCATATTTTTCAATATGGTAGCCATTTGCGTATAGAAGATAGATCGTCGGGACAAATTTTTTTTTTTCATTTTGTAGTACATAAAATAAGCTTTAATTTTATATATGTTTAAAGGACGCAGTATTTCCGGAACATTTTCAAAAATTAAGTTGAAAAAGTTATTTTTTGTAAAAAAGTTACTATTTTAAATCCTCCCAGTGAGCAGAATAAGTGTTAGATTTTCAAAAAAAATTATATCAAATGAAAGGGAAATATCTAAGGTTTCAATACAAAAAAATATTATTTTTATTTGTTCATTTTTGAAAAAGTTATGGCAGTTTTAAGTACAAAAAACATCCCGATAAAATGTAATTTTTATCGCAAACATTACATTTTTTTTTAAATTTTCGACAGCCATTTGCACATAGAAGATAAGATGTCGGGACAAATTTTTTTTTTTCATTTGATAGTATATAACATAACCTTTGATTTGATATATGTTTAAAGGACGCAGTATTTCCGGAACATTTTCAAAAGTTCAGTTGAAAAAGATCTATGTTTTTTACAATATTTTAAGTTTTGAACGCCTCCTATATAAGAGGAAATTGTCCAATTTTAATAAAAATTATGTCAAATGAAAGATGTACTTATAATGTATCTAGAAAAAAAAAATTTGTGCTGATATATACATTTTTCAAAAAGTTATAGCATTTTTAAGTTGAAAATTTAAAATCGAAAATCGAAAATTTTAACACAAAAATAGTGTTTTTTTAACTACAGCAGCCGTTTAAATGTAGAAAAAAAAGTGTCGGGACAAATTTTTTTTTTTCATTTTATAGTACATAAAATAAGTTTTAATTTTATATATGTTTGAAGGACGCAGTGTTTCCGGAACATTTTCAAAAATTAAGTTGAAAAAATTAATTTTTGTAAAAAAGTTGCCATTTTAAATCCCCCCCAATGAGCAGGTTAAGTGATAGATTTTCAAAAAAATGATATCAAATGAAAGGTAAATATCTAAGGTTTTAGTATAAAAAAAAATTATGTTGATTTGTTGATTTTTCAAAAAGTTATGGAAGTTTTAAGAAAAAAAAGTGAAAAAATTTCGAAAATTAGCGATNATTTGAGAAAAAAAAGTGAAAAAATTTCAAAAATTAGCGATTTTTAAATTTGTAATTTTTTTGGATATTTCCCCCATTTGCGGGGAACGAGGGAATTTTTTTCAATTTTTAAGGGTAATGTCTTCAACTAGATACGATTTGTGATCTTTTGACGTACATTTGAAAGAAATCGGTCCAGTGAGAGCTGAGAAAAAGTGGCAACAGACATAAAAAAAAAAAAAAACACATCATAGTAAAATTAATACCTTTTCAGCTTCGCATCGAAGCTAAAAATTAAAATGTTTTTAATTATAATAATGATATCTGCCTAAGATATCATTGGGACATATTTTATAAGCCTGAGGAGTTTATCTAAAAATTAATGGCAATTTGTATTTAGTACTTTTCATACATTTGTGCTCACTTGCTAAACTAATAATTGATTTAATTTTTCCCCATAAATAAATTTACATATAATAATTTTACTTATAATAAGATTTTTTGTGTAATTTTCTTGAACTGGTGCCATTACCCTTATCTTCCTTAAGTTTTTTATAATAATTTATATTTATTATTATTCAAGTGTTTGTGAAGTATCCAGTATAGTGTAGATATAGAGAATATATTTTTCATTTTTTTTTTTTTTGTAAATTAAAACAACGGCTTTTCTGTAATACCATATTTTATTTTGGATTATTAAACTAGGATGAAAACTAAAATTGAGGTCTCCAAAATATAATTTTGATCATAACGTAAACCAATTATTTTAATTTTAGGGAATTTTTTAAGAAAATATATTTAAAAGAATAATTTTCAAATTTATTTACTCAATGATCAACGTATTATAAGTCAAGAAATACACGAAAAAAAAAATTGAGATGTAGTATGGTACATTTTATGAAAAATTATGTCATAATATTTCATCATATTGTCATAATGTGAAACCCATAAAATGCCTTTAATCTTGAGACCCCTGTGCAATGCATCTTACATAACCCCTCCCAATAAATTTGACATTCACACTGCGTAATTTTAAACAAAGTTCTTATTTAAAATGAATGGACACACAATTTTACTGAAAATTAAACTAAACAGGTCGTATTTTTTGTTTTATTTTGTTGTACAAAACTCATAAATACTCGAAACCGTCGTATTTATTTAATATAAAACAAACAAAAAATTTAACGGAATCAAACTAATTTACAGGACCAGATTACGTTATGTTTTATACCATTTTTGGTAATAATTGAGTGCCTATTGTTTCTATATGACAAATTCGTGGTAAATTACGTAGTAAAATTTTTATTTTAAACTAAAATTCTATGTGTTCTTATAGAAAAACCGTAATTTTAATCAACAAAAAAATGAAGAAAAAAAACCCAGCACAGTGGGGTCGCGGCATAGTGGGGATGTTGCATAGTTGGGTCCAGTATAGATTTAATCTGACAGTGATTAAAATCACTATCATAAGAAACGCTTCGATGCAAATCAGTAGATAGTGTTTAATTCTAAGAAATTGGTGGATAATTACAAAAGCTACATTATCTGCTAGTTTCTTATTAATACCCTGATTAAGATAAAGTATGTCGAATGAAAAAGGGATTATTAAAAAATATTATTTCTCATAAAAAAATTGTGTTGATTCGTACACTTTTCAATGAGTTATAGCATTATAAAGTTAAAAATGTAACCAACCCAACCCAACATCAACTCCTATTTCCTTAATTATATCCAGATTAGTAATTATTTTAATTATATATTATATAATTTTTATAATTAATTATTTTCAAATTATTATTGATTTTTAATATGTTAAAAGTAATCATTTTGAACCTACTTCTTTTTGTTCTTTAAAGTGAAAGTTTTAATAAAAAAAAAATGAATTTATTACCATAACTTTTAACTCAACTTGCAAGTTTGAAATAAATATTATTAAATAGAAAAAAAT